ACGAAGCTCTTTTTGCGTCTGAGGTCCTCGCCCGCATCAACCCTCTCTTCATCATAATCCTTCTTCCTCCGAGAGCTATTCGAGCGATGGCGGCGGTGGTGGTGGCGATGGGACGCAGGCGGACTCGAAAGCGATTCATTCTGGGCGCCGGTCTCGGTATCTCGTCTTCGGCGTCGCGAGGACTCGCGGAAGGCGGAGTGTTCATCTCGTCGTGGGGAGGCCTTCCCCGGCCGCTGAGGCAAAGACATGGTCCTACTGTCGGTAGGGGAAGTCAGCAAAAGAACCAGCAACTTCTACTTTCGCTCAAAGAACATACCCTTAGTTCTGCGCGACCATCAAGTATGAGAATAAATATTGTACAGTTGTTTGATTTCTATAATGGCATAAGCGACGATGCCGATGCGATGAGCTGCAGCGCGGTTGATGCGGCGGGAATTCTTCGTTTCCGGCTCAGTGTGATGCTCTCTTTGAACTTCGTGTGGGCGTTAACAGGATTTGGCAATTCGGTCAGGATGCGAAATTAACGGCCGGCAGAGTGAAGCTGAGCGATCGCGCAAAATGGCGTGGTCTAAGACTGGACGAGGTGAGATGGCGAAAACAAACGCTTTGCAGACAAGAGTGCGAAGAAATAAAGCGAGCGACTAGAGTGGAGAGGCAGCTAGTCAAATATCATGAGGAGAAATCATCAACAGGCAAGCGATGCGCCCAACGGATAATTTCGACAACGTTTCGCAGGAGGGAAAGGGAGAAGAAGAGAAGGAAGTGAACATCAGCAGGATAGAGGAGCGGAGTAGCTGGAGCGGGCGAGGACGATGCCTGCCTAGTGCGTACCTAGTAACCTGGCAGTGATAAAGCGATGGGTACCTGAAAAACAATCACCTGCCGAACTGAGTATTTTATTTGCACGGGCGAGATGTGATTTGCCCTCGGCTGCAGGGGCATTCTCCGTAGACCGTAGAAAAAAATTTCCTCCACATGCACCGAATAGCACCTCTCTCATTCGGAGTTATCTACTGTACGTACATGCACGGGAGGAATGCCACCGATCGGAGGAATCGAGAGAGTCGAGAAGGCACTACTCCGTACTGAATGTCCACAACAAAGGAGGCAAATAATGGTATAATTACGTCTAGTGTACTTGGACAGGATCCATGTGCCTCGTCGCTAGGGGCAATCGGTCGGGCTAGATCCCCTCCCCACCAATCGAAGTCACTCGGCCGGACTCACGGATCATTTAAAAGGTTCGGGCCCCGGTCAATTCCCTTCGCCTGATTGGATACTGTTCCGCATCCATGCATGCTATCCCACATCAGGCTAGCCACTCAATTCATCAGGCCAATGATGGAATGCACCATGTCTCATGTCTGGCCCCACCACCCTCGGTTATCCCCCTCCCCTCCTCTGATCTCAAAATTGTTGAAGTTTAAACTTAATCCGCGATCCTCTGGGATGGACGGAATGCGGAGACCGTTGGCCATGACGGTTTGCGCCCTTGGGTCTATCCACCACGGGTCTTCTATCGAACAGAGACGTAGAACTCACGGTAATGCGCTCTTTGACGGTCCAGTTCCGCTCTCTCGGGCATGCCGGGCTATAAATAGTATCGCAGAGATCAAGATTCACGACCCTATGGGCAGTCAACAGTTGTCCGGGTAGCTACCATGGTTCCCTTTTTTTTTTTTTTTTTTTTTTTTTTTCCAGTCCTATGTTCCTCTTTATTCAGTGCTTTATGCATGCATCGTATTATGTTTGTCCCCATCATTATTTTGGTTTCAGTAAAATATAGACCTGTCCTATCGAGCTCATGAAGGACACGCCTAGCTGCAAGATTCACAGCACAAGTAACTAAGGCGACCATCTAGCCCGATATGATTTGTATTCAACGCTATCATCTGCCCTCAAGTAAACTCCAAACTTGGCAACCACAATACAGGGGGGCAAAGCATTTTGATATTCCCTGGTATTTTGATCCGTTCGTGCGCGGCTACAGGAGCGTCTCATCCGCAGCGTCCCTATTGTCAAACTGACCAGCCACAACTACTAAGCATGTATATCTGGACCCCCGCATGAACAGTCACATCCATTGCTCTGCATTCGAAATACACCCGGGCTAGGAAATCAAAGTCTAAACAAACGTTGCGGAGCAACCGAAAGGCTATCAAGATTAGGGTTCGTGGATGAGCTTGGAGTGACCTTGGGAGTCTTGGAAGCTCAACGACAGTTTCTTTGTGATCTGGCATCCGGAAGTAATCACGGGTTCTCGAAACAGTCTTTTCAAGCGATGGTTCACTTCCTGGTTGAGTACGTCATCAAGGATGTCACTTATGTTCTTTGCCTAAGAATAATCATGTCAACAACATAAGCAGGCATAACTAAGTCAACATGCCATTGATTTGTTACCACTTACCACCATACCATCCCAGGTCTACCTCCCACTAGCGGTGCAACTTGAGTAAAACCGAGTTGCTCACCTGACCGGACTAGTGGCTGCAACCCGCTAAATCCATCCGGTGCTATTTTCAGCTATTTTCAGACAAAGCCAATTGCATCCCAGCACGCCACCTTACCGATGTCTGGCGCGTGGATACTAATGGTACTACTACTTCTGAAACTACTGTGTACGGTGTATACGGTAGTATTGCTACCCGCAGAAATATACCACGGGGGAGCCGGATGAAAGGTGTCTGTATTCTGACTCTGTCGATGGGCCCGCTGAGTCACTTGGCCCTGGGTGTCCAATAAAGGAACGCCGGGGTAGTTAGGATACCTTGGTACATACAAATGCTGTCAGCCTAAAGTATGCAGCACGTACTCAGCAAATACGGCAAATGCATCTGTTAGCCGGATCTGAGTTGTCACTCATACCGACACTCTACAGTGTAGTACTCTGTATACCTAGGTTGCACTATAGTAGACGGTAGCTATACTTCTGAGTGTAGGATGCAACACAGCCCCAACCTGTCTATCCATGCACACCCGGTGGGAATGGAAATACATCGCTGCATGTATGCACTTTGTAGACCTGACCTTGCCTGGATTTCCATGCCTTATGACGGTCATGTCCACATACCTTCCGAGACATTGCTTGATGATCGAGTATCAACCTACCGTTCATAGCCACGGTGAGCTCACCCCGGACGATCATGATGCCGTCTCCAATACGGCCGGGCTAGATGGTCAGTGCAGACTAAGAATGCAGGGCCCCTCCGCCTATCATAGTGGTTCAACCACGTTGTGCTGACAGCACGGAATGCGGGCAACTGCGATGAAGAATGTGTGTATCTGGATCAAAGAGATCGGCCAGATTGCTCCACTACAGCCATGGGTGAGCGCCTCGACGATGCAGATAATAATCTACCGCAGCATGGCGATCCCTTCGGAGCCCTAGATTCCCGACAACTTGAATGCTTCATTTCACCCGCCTGACACAAAGACTCGCCATGATTGCCATCCCGACCGCTATGACGACAAGAAGATGGCACCTGTACGAGGAAGCGCCCGAGATCCTTTCCAGGCTTTTCTTTGGTCCGGTCCGAATTGCCAGACGGTTGTTTCGAAGACTGCCTAAATGAATCTTCTGATCTCATTGCGCATACTAGCAGTAGCAGGCTTGGGACGAATATTGGGATCCAACAGCGCTTAGACGACCATTCGCTTGTCAAAGATCCCCTGTCTGAGTCAGAACATTCTCGTATTGTGGATTGAAATCCCCGAGGGAGATGAGGCTCTCTGTCGCCAACTTCTTCCCCATTCCAGGAGAATCGATCGATTGAGTTCGTTAGAGTGAGGACCAACGCATTGGGCATATTTCTCTTCGTATATCTCCATACCCCACGATCGACCTCACCTTTCGAATTCAGCCCGCCATCAATCATACATATTATATCATAATGCCAGCTGGTCTCACAGATGCTGGGTTCGGAGTACTCCGCTGCAGTCATGACCATCTAGCATTGACATTGCCGTTTCATCGTGCCGCCGGATCGGATTAGTCCAACCATGACACGTCCGAGGAGATCCAGCAGGTAAGACAAGCACCAATGTGGAAGCCGAACGGGTCCAATCCGATTAGATTTTTATTGGACTGGGTGTTCACTGTGGTACTCCAGTGTAGGGATAATTTAAGACACACGATCCTCCGCTTTAATTCCCCTCCTCGCAGCCTGAGGCTAGTTCTTAGCGTTGCATTCTCCCATCCGATCGAGGTGTTCTTGGAACCAGCCAGCCGGTTGATCGTCTGTACAGTCGCTGAGCCGGGCGGATCAACGTCAATTAGATGAGAGACCGCAAGAAGTAGGAGAGTTGAACTTGAGTAATTCAGGAATTATTCACTGCCTTCGGAGTAGATATTCTGGAGTCCGACCAGGTCACGGGGCCTTACGATACCAAACATACGGTCAATACCGTATTGGCTAGCGGCGTCTCGGCGCCTGAGGCCACCCCGTCTGATTCTCCCCAAATCCACTTTTTGCCTCTCTCTTTCTTCTTTCTTCTTCTACTTCAGCCCGTCCACTGCTCGTTGCTCTTCGGTCGTCTCTTTCCCCCCTCGCTTCTCCCATTCCCCTCGTTTCGGTCTCTCGTTTGACACCCCGCACCCTCCTGTCGTTCCTGTGCATGCGGTATGGAATGCTTCATACCTATCTAGGTTCCAGTCTTCAAGTCCTGTCCGTTAATCTTTGTCAGGTGGATCCCGAATTCCTCTCCAGTTCTCCACGTTCAGAACTCCATAACTGATAACACCTATCGATTCCCGCCGTCTTTCCGTCCGATTTGTCCGATAGCCCGAAAAATAATAGACCAGATAGCTGAACACCACTTTCGACGCACCTCACTCGCTACAACTGTCATCTACGGCATATAATCGCACCCCACGAACCTCATGCCATAACCTCTCCTACGCTTTGTCCAATTCTGCGTCGATCCAGATCCGCAGTCCAACAGCCGGTCTGACGTACCCCCTCTCACAACCGCGATCGAGTTGAAGGAAGGAAAAGAACAAAATGGCCAGCCCCGTTGCAGGCGAATACCCTCAACCTGTTACCTCCCCTCCTCCCGTCTACCTGCGATCTTCCCCGCCTGCCTCCGACACTCACCAATCGACCCCTCGGTCCACACAAAAGAGACCTCTGAGCTTCGGCTTTGGTCGCAAATCTCCCACGGCCTCGGTTCCATTGGCAGACCACGTCGCAGAGGACCGGCGTGTCTCGAAAGGGCCCGATGATGCGACCTTGGCACCTGTCGCCAACAAGACCGTCGACAATTTCCCCGTCGATTACGACGTCCCTCCGCTGCCAACGGCGCGGTTCTCCAAATTGACTGTGGAAGAAGACCTACCCCAGTCGACCGATAACCAAGTCCCTGATAGCCCTTCGCCTGGCTCCAACGGAGATTCGTACGACGCTCCGCCACCACCACCGCCCCATCTTCAACAGACGTCGGCGCATGGACATACTCCGGCCAGCAGTGGCTCGTGGTCGGTGGTAGAGCCTCATGGGAAGGATGAGCCTAAGATCCTGATCAATACCAGCGGATCGTCGTTGGCTCATGGCGCCCCCAGCGCAAGTCACAACAGCTCCTCTCGGGGCAGCATGGATAGTGTCGACCAGGTGCCCGAAGTTGAGGAGCCGGAGCCGGAGCCTTTGCACTACCACCACCGTCCCTACCAGCCCAAGGCGAGCCCGCCCGCCGAGAATGCCGGGGGTAATGGCCATCTGTCGGCTGATCGTGCCCGATCATCTCGACCACGCTCGGCGTATTCCATTGCGTCCGATATTGACGGCCGCAACGGGTCCCCTCACGGATCTCCGTACCTCCATGCGCGCTCCTCCACCTCCCCGGACGTTCGGCCGGTCTCCTTTGTTGATCTCCTCAACACGCCCTATCCGCAGCCCGGTCCCGCGCCGACGCAATTCGGCAACGCCCAGCTGCGGTCATCTGTCGGCAACAGCGCATCGTTGCTCAGCCACAAGCAAACCTTCGACATGTACCTGGCCAATGTCAAGAAGACGGACGATCCGGCCATCCAGTATGAGTTTGCCATCTTCATGGTCAATGCCATGTTGGAAATGCCCGAAGATCTCGACGGGGTGGCGCAGGTGTACGGCCGGAAGGGAAATGAGATTACGCGAGCCAGTCTGCTGAAGGAAGCCAAATCGATTCTGCAGCGTCTGTCCGACCGCAGCTACCCGTTCGCGCAATACTATTTGGCCGACGGCTATGCATCTGGGCTGTTCAACAAGGGCAATGAAGACCCCGACCGCGCATTTACCTTGTTTCTCGCCGCCAGCAAGCACGGCCACGTAGAAGCGTGCTACCGAACGGCGCTCTGTTATGAATTCGGCTGGGGTACTCGCGTCGAGGCGGCCCGAGCCCAGCAATTCTATCGTCAGGCGGCATCGAAGAACCACCCGGGTGCCATGTTGCGCATGGCAAAGGCTTGTCTTGCCGGTGACATGGGCTTGGGGGTGCGCTACCGAGAGGGAGTCAAGTGGTTGAAGCGAGCGACGGAATCCTCGGACCGACAGTACAACTCGGCGCCGTATGAGCTGGGGTTGATGCACGAGTCGGGATACGGCGACGACGTCTTCCCCGACCCGTCGTACGCTGCTCAGTTGTTCACCAAATCGGCGGACCTAGGACATGTAGAGGCGAGCTACCGGCTCGGCGATGCCTATGAGCACGGCAAGCTGAACTGCCCTCGCGACCCTGCCCTGAGCATCCACTTCTACACGGGCGCCGCCCAAGGAGGACATCCGCATGCGATGATGGCGCTCTGTGCATGGTACCTTGTGGGGGCGGAGCCCGTGCTCGAGAAGGAAGAGAACGAGGCATATGAATGGGCCAAACGGGCTGCCGATCTCGGTAAGCTGACATTCCAATTCCAGCAGTGATCATAGCTAATGATTTATCCCGTTGGGGGAAAACAGGCCTCACGAAAGCCCAATACGCGGTGGGCTATTTCACCGAAATGGGCATCGGCTGCCGACGTGACCCGTTGGAGGCCAACGTCTGGTATGTGAAAGCAGCGGAGCAGGGCGATACGCGAGCGACGCATCGTATTGCAGCGATTCGAGCCGCGGCCGAGGGGGTGGATCCAGCGCAGGCCGCCAGTCAGGGACAAAAGGGGAAGAAGGGTGAGTCCTACTGCATTATCATTGCTGCATTGCGGGGATCGTCGAGGGGATCGGCAGGCTAACGGTGATAATAGAGGGCAAGAAGCGATTTGGTCTTTTTTAGGTGTCCGTTGCTGTCACTAGCCAGTCAGCTCTGGTCTGATTGTACAGGGGTTTCCGTCCAGATGTTTATCCAGCGATTTTGAACATAACGGCGTAATTGGAGCGACCATCTCAGGGGTAATAATGCATAATATTGGACAGCGCAGACTCTGAACTCTGAACTGGGTTGATTGCTGATTGTTGATTATTGATTCTTTGGTTGTTTTTTTTTTTTTGGGAAATCGGTCGGTCGGTTTGACCGGTCGCATGGGATGAATTTTGTATAAGAAGCAGAAACCAGACCTGAACATATGACCTGTGGTTTTTACAGAGTACAGAGTAGTTACAGAGGACAGAGTAACTAGAGTAAGAGAATGTCTTGACCGTTGTCAGGCCATCTATAGCGAAGAGCCTTACCTTAGCAAGACATGATGTATCACAATCGCATTGAGAGTGGAAACACCTTGAAACATCTTGCATGCTGTGTTTGCTCTCACCCGCCTTTCTACTTTCTCGGGTTCTGTCTAACTTATTGTTCGAGAAGAGAACTCCGTAAATAAACAAACAAATAGGTAGCATCAACTCAAGTCAGTACCTGCATCCTCTTCCCAGCCTGAGTTTTGTCAATCTTTACTGTTTAGGTCGCTTCTACGGTGTATTTACCCCTTACTCTTGCTTCTGGACGATGTACTTAAGTCAACACTAACAACGGATGGCATGGCAGCGCATCGCATCGCATCGCAGTCGCAGTTATTACGAGGACTGCGGCATATTACTGAATAGGTATGTATGTACCTTATAAAATCCAACACCGCCTCTTAAAAACCCCCTCCCTAATAATAGCCAACACCCAGAGATGCTCTATACACCGTCCCTCGTACGATGTACATACGCATCCTCCATCCTCCGTACTACTACTAATAATAATCATACAATGTAACCATCGCCACCAAATCCAATTCCACGACTCCACAGACATCAACCTGAGGACAACAATCCCCACATTTTCCCCTGATACTCAGTAGCCACTGACGACCTCGCTACGGGAGCAATTCTTCCTCCGATGATAACGCCCAGACTGAAAATTGGGTCCCGTGCCAATCACACCCCTCTGCAGTATGTCGATCCCGTCGATTGTTGTTTCGGATGATGCGTACCTTTGGTTTTTTGTGCCAGTGCGGGATGGGTTGATTTGTGTACGGAGGAGGTTTGATGTCTGGTTGCTATAAATATTCGGTCGGTGGAACACTGTACGGAGTAGAGCAGGTGTAGCTGTAGGATGAGTACTGCGTAAGAGAGTGAAGTCATCTCGTGGGTGGACCTGGCCCTGTACCTGACTGGCGTGTCTAGTGGCTACTAGGTTACGGAGCCTAAACTCCGCACCTGAAAGTGAAGAGAAGCTGGATGATCTGATGTAAGTGGTTTGCGTCTGGGTTTTGGTTTTGGTTTTGCAGGCTGCAGGTGCAGGTGCAGGTATAAAGGGGAGATCTCGGTCTGCGCTTTCTGTTTCTGCTTTTCTCTTCATCCCTGGATTTGCTGGTTTTGTTGCTTGCACGTTCAGATTCGATTTGTTCATCTACTTATCTATCTACATCGATCGTCCATCCTACCTACCCTACCTACCACCTATCTCTCTTCGTAAGTTGATCCAAGATCTGTTCTGTCCTACCTGTCTATCCATTTACACGTCCAATTTATCTCTTCCAGCGATTGGATTGACGACATATCGTTCATCTTCCCATCTACTCAACTCAACTCCGTATATCTTGACTACCAAAACTGACAACATACCCAAGCTTCTCAGTTCCACCCTTCCTCCAATCTCCCTCCAACCAACCAAACCACCAAACAAAATGCAGATCTTCCACACCCTCCTCACCACCGCCCTCCTGGCCACTTCTTTCGTCGCCGCCCGTCCCGCCGACCACAGCAATGTCGTCCGCGACTCGGAGCTGTTCGTGCGCGAGCCTTTGAAGAGCTGCATTGGTGTACGTATTCCCATTTACTCCCTCCTCTCTCAGCATACGGGGAGTACAAGAGAAAAGACACAGGAGAAGAGAGTTGGATCGGATAAGACAAGACAAGACAAGACAAGAATGAAACGCTAACAGCTCGTGTGTGGCGATACAGAAACTCCAAACCAACTCGCCCTGCACGAACGTCACGACGTCGGCATTCGCGTGCTGTCCGCCTTTGCAGTGTGGTAGTGATAAGGTATGTCATTCTTCTTTAATTTCCTCCTTCCCATCTTCTTGGATCTTTTTATGGGTATGAGATTGAGCTGTGGCTAATATCTGATTGTTGGAACAGCTGTGTCGGTAAATCCATCTCGTCGATTTTGCCGATGATCCGGTTCGGAAACATGATTGTTCATTCGTGAAAAGTCCTCTGGCACTATGTGTGTGGGCGAAGATAAGAGGGATGGAAGGATATGGGAAAGAGGCATGAGTCAAGACAAAGAATCTCAGACTCAGCGACAAAAAGAGATGGGATGCTTCATTGCATGATGTAAGCTAAGTTAATGGCCTTCGAAGGTGTATGTTTTACTACTAGGTATCTAGCTATCCAGCGCACGATACACAACAATTAATGTGTTGATAAGCGATCACTTTCTTTGACTTTGCTTGCTTGAGGTTTATCTATCATAGTCATTCGCCTATATTGTCTCACTCATATACACATTACATTTTCCATTATATAACCAGGCCAGGAAAAGCAGAGAGAGGGAGAGAAAGATGAGAAAGAAGAAGTCAACTAGCAGTACATCCGCCCCAAACTAGGCGTCACATCCAAAGACGTGAATGAACAGTGGGAATACTCTGACTCATCCCCTGTCCCTGCGCCCCTATACTCTGTCATCTGCTCTCCCTCCCCTCGAGGGATTTCGCCCCAGATCACGGGCTTCAGCGCAGCTCCCTCGTCCCCTTCCGGTGAATGACATGCCGCACTGCAATGCGCCGCCAGTGGCATATGCGACTTGAACCGTCGTACCCCAATCCCCAACGACAGAAACAGAGCAAAAACACCCACCCAAAGAGCAATGAACATGGCCACCGGAGAATAGCAACATCCCCGGGATGAGCTCTCCTTATCTTCTTCCCCGTCCGGAGAGTATGTTCTGATGTTGACGAAGAAAATGCTCTGCGATACAAGCCAGTGCAGGCTGGTAGACAGGGCAAGAAGAGGGAGGCTATACCGGTAGGGTAGACTGAGGTAATAGGTTGACCGTTGCTGACCGCGCGGCCAAGAAACTCGCAGTGGGCGGCGGCGGCGCGCGTAATGGCCCCATTCTGCGGCAACGAGCATGCAGGTGAGAATGCTGTTGATAAGGAAGTAGAGAGTTGACAGCACAATTTGTGGGGTGTTGGCTAGAAGCACGAGGGCAATTATGTTTGTTGAAATATTGCCAATCATGTTGTCTCCGCTGGTTTCCCCAAAGCCGAGGCTCATAGCGAACTCAAAAGACCTTGGGTGGGGGATTGTGAGGACAAAAAGGTGTATGGTTGTGGCTATGCAGCAGATACAGCTGAAGGTCATTAGCAGGGGGGCGTTCCTAATTATGCTAAGGCAAGTGAGCCCACAAGAGCAAGACACCGCCCAACGTGTCCAGCTGGCCGCTTGATACCATCTTTTACAGCAGAAAAGAAGGCCGAGATAGATTCAAAGATCGCTTGCGTTAATGTTATTGAGTAGCTCTCCAGCAAAAGCGACACTAAGCTCAGAGCCCGCTACTGTACTGTGTATTCTTTCAATTGACCGAATGTGATAGCAGGGAGGCTCCAGGCTCGAGATCCACGAGCCACCTCCGCATGCGAGAGAAAGCATCGGCCATGGGTGGTTGAATCTGGGCGTGTGAGGAATGAGGACAGCGCATCTCCCACTGTCAACATGAGATCCCTGCGTCTAACCCGGCTGGTCAACAGCATGCAGATGACTACTATCGCGATCAGGGGACTAAAATATAACTGGCAGCGTTCTTCCGCCTTTCCAATTAGGCAGTGGAACGTAGGGACGTTTCGCGCAGGGGGTTCGATCTCATGTTGTAGGTCTATGGTGCCATTGCCAATCAGCTCAAAGGTTATATTGTCTGCCCAAGAGCTGCTCGCCCAGTGAGCAGGATTGTCCAGGTACTCGCGCAAGGCGTCGTAAGACGGGTTGTAAACATAAATATAATTCCTCAGGATTGAAATATCACGTCCATAGCTATTGGTATCATGGAACCCCAACGTTGTATCATCGCGAAAGTTGAACCAGGGCGTCGGATAATGGGGGGCGCCAGTCTCGTCATAGAACACGCCCTGTGTAATCAGGTGCAGAATAGTTCCATACGCGATAGCTCCAATGCCGAGTTTTCATTGTCCAGTTACCCTCTTGCATAGGATTTTCCCGAAAGTACTCGTATATGGAATGGCCGTTTGGGCGTGTCCAGTTGCGTAATCCCCCTAACATGAGGCTACTGGTGTTGGGAAAGTGCCGTCGGTCTGCCACGAAGATGAGCGTGCCATACTTTGTGTTGAACTCCATGGTGTACTTGGAAACGCAATCCGCACTCGTCGCATTGACAAAGCTCCCGTTGAATATATGTGCTCGGACAACTGTTTCATCGACCCCGACATAAGACAGAAAAGTCTCATAGCTAGTTGTGTCACCACCGGTCAAGGGCTCAGTTGGTGACAAATCGTTAGGGATCATGAAAGCACCGTACTTGAGATTTGATATTGATGAGAAAATAGCTGAGTTATAAATCATGTGGATTGGAGTTGAACTGATGAGAAGCGGGACCCATAAGATCTTCCGTCGGGTATCCATAACTCTGAAGTTGCGAAAATTAAAGATGCCAATGTCCAGCCATTGCGACTTGGCATGGGCCTGATCGACATCAGTTCGAGACGGTGCGCCCAGGCTCTGCATAACGTAGTTGCTGGCTCCGAGAAGAACTGTGCTAAAGACGTTGATCACGAGGTGGAGACCCGTTGCCCACTGTACAATTCGGCCATTTGGAACTGTTCTCGGTTGGCCTGTCGCCGATAGGCACTTACTATTGCCGTGATGGTTAGGATGATGTTGATAGCGAGGATCAGGACGGCGATACAGGTGCACATGAACACCCCTTTAATCCAGTCACTGCCTTCCTCGGTCGTTCTAAGTCTAAACAGTGTACATGGAAATAAAAATTGGTTCCATTTTGAATGTTTGCGCTTCGATTTGTCAGGCAGGTTGGAATAGCGAAATTTATCCCGCCAAGCCAACGGTATACTTAGACTTCTGCGCGTTCGATTACGGTCTGCACCCATTGCGTTGTTCCCTATGACAATGGCGTGTTACCATCAGAATGGGACACAGCAGACAGAGAGAAAAGTGCGAGGATAATCTGACACACCAACACTTTGGTGTCAAGGAATTTAAACCACATGACTGACTGTCGTCCGATAACATATTGGGTAAAGGGGGTAAAAGGCTAGGATTTCAGGGATTCAGCCTCGCAGTTAGCCCTGACTCGCACTGCATACTGTGATCATCCTTGCTTGGCAGGAATGCTTGCGGGCTTTATTATGCAATGATATTCTTGAGACACAGCCTTTCAGTTATTCGGGTGCCTAGCCAGACCATGATTACAACTTGAGTGATCACTTCGAGTGTTATCATTCATAAACAAACTGAACCAGCTGGAGGATCTCTTACGCTGAACATTCATGATAGAACATCAGGTGAGATTTCTAGATAGAGAATTGTTATAGGGAGGTTTTTAGCCTTTGGAAACCTTTTCGAATCAATCTAGTGACATAGAGCCCCCCATGCATCGCGATCCTGATAAGTGGGTGTTCCTACCTACACTGGAGACAAGCTCAATTCGGAATGAGGATCATTGTATACCTACTCTGAGTATGATCGACTGGCATGTCAAATTTAGAGGACAGAAAAATGGAATCTAATGAAATCTGGGGCTAAATGAATGTAGAACCGAAATTACCCGATTGATTGATGAGTTGTTGAGGTCGCGGAACCGTCAAGTCCGGCGGCTGATGAAGGCGCGACCTAGGGCTGACCAGAGATATAATGCACGCAACGACGCGATAATTTGCGAACAGCCGAATTCAGCCAATTGGTCTGATTGAAGACCATTCAAACAGTTTAATCATCAATTGCACTGCGATTAAGTCTACATTACAAGAGGGAAGAAAGGAAGTCTTACAGAAATATACTACAATCTTCTCGTAATAATTAGCATGTACAGTACATATTGACAAAAAGGAAAGAACATGGATGCACCAGTCAATGAACACGTCAAATAAAGTGATATCTACTACATGAAAGAAAAGCCCTTCCAAGTATTGGGGATCTCAAGAAGAAAAAGAGAAAAAAAGAAAAACCTCCGAGAGGGGCCACACGAAAGGAAAATTGAAAAAGAAACTCCAAACATATATATGCCTTGAACCTATGAACAATTGAACCAAGTTCCTAAGCGTTACGCTTAGAACTGGTCAATGCAACCCCAGTAGCGCTCGACGTCGAACTCGCCGGCATCCTTCCAGAGGTCGTTGGAGTAGGAGAAGAAGACGGACAGAGAGCCGACCTCCTCAACCAGAGCCTTGATGGCGGCGGCCTGCTGGGAGACACCGGGCACGGCGAGACCGTTGGCCTCACCCTGGCTGGGCCAACCGGTCTCCAGGTTGACAACGTCCTTGCCGTTACAGATACCCTCGAGGATCTTGACCTGAGACTTGGCGAACTTACCAGCGTCACTGGGGCTGACCTCAGCGTTGAAGAAGGGGTGGATGTTGGCACCGACGACGTCAATGGCGCTGCAGAGAGCGGAGCCGCTCTGCTCCCAGACGTTGATGGGCTCGGTGGTGGTGATCTGGCCAGAGTAGCCGGCAGCCTCGAACTTGGACTTGGCGGAGGCGATGAAGCCGGCGAGCTCGGAAGCGCTGCAGTAGCCGTTCTGGATGGACTCGTTACCGACAACGATCAGGGTGACGAGGTCCCACTCGGCCCACTTGGCGATGGCGGTGACCTGCTCCTGGGCACCGGAGACACCGCTGCTGTCAATGAAGACACCGATGATGAGCTGGAGGCTGTGCTTGCGGGCGGCCTCGCCGATGTACTCAAGACTGTTGCAGTCGGTGGAGTAGACACGGACGTGGCTGAATCCCTTCTGGGCGATGACAGCGATGTCGGACAGGACGTCGCTCTTGGACTTGCACTGGCTGTCGTTGGTGTAGGGAGAGTAGGTCATACCCATCTGCTTGCCGCTGACACCGGTGGGAACGGCGGTCTTGGAGCTAGAGGTGGACGAGGGGGCGGCCTGGGAGGTGGTGGGGACGGCAGTAGTGGTGGGAGCAACGGGAGTCTGCGAGGTGACGGGAACAGCCGGGGTGGTGCTGGGAGCCTCGGGGACGGGAGCCGGGGTGGAAGTGGGCTGGTTGGAGTCGGTGAAGGGGCAGACATAGGAGATGTCGGTGCGGGTGACGGTCACCACCTGCTCAGGCTGAGTGTAGGTGCCCGGGGTGAAGGTGGCCGGGGTGGGGTAGACCACGACGGTGCTGGAGGGCACGTAGGTGGTGGTGGGAGCGATGGTGTAGGTACCGGCGCTGGGGCAGACGTAGGTGGTGGTCTCAATGACGCTGGTCACGGTCGAGCCGCTGGGCTTGACGGTAGCGTAGGGGCAGGTGACCGTGGTGGCGGTCTCGACGATAGTGGTGACACCACCGTAGGTGTGGGAACCGCTGGGCAGGTCGGTGGTGGTGGCTCCGCAGACGGTGGTGGCATCGGTGACGGTCACGGTCGTGGCGGGGACGGTGAAGATACCGGTGGAGGGGAAGTTGGTCACACCGGCGGTGGGCAGAGTCACCTCAGGGGTGGCAGCGGGAGCGGTCGAGGAAGGCTGCTCGGGGGTACCAGTAGGCTCAACACCAGCGGGGGTGGAGGTGGTAGGCTGCTCAGGCACGGCAGGAGCGGTGGTAGGCTGCTCGGGGACCGCGGGGGCAGTGGTGGACTCCTCGGGCACAGCGGGAGCGGTGGTAGACTCCTCCGGGACCGCGGGGGCAGTCGTGGGCTGCTCGGGAGTACCGGTAGGCTCAACACCGGCGGGGGTGGAGGGGGTGACGACCACGGTCTCGGTGGTGTAGCTGGTCGAGTGACGGGTGGTGATCACGTTGGAGGTCACGGTGCTCTCGACGGGAGCGGGAGGAGCGGAGGTGGCCTCGACGGGGGGAGCGGAGGTAGGCTCAGCAGGAGCGGAGGTCGACTCGATGATGGGAACCACTGATTTTGTTAGTCGGTGTCCATGTTGGATATCATGATGTTATGTCAACATACAGGTAGGGTTTCCGTAGTAGGTGATGACCTCGGTGGTGCATCCGCACTGCTCCTCAGGCTCAGGCTGGACAGCCCGACGGTGGTGCAGAGAGTCGTGACGGCGCATGTGAGCGACGTCCGCCATGGCCGTACCGGCAAGAGCGGCCGCGGTGGCCAAGAAAGCACCCTTCATGGTGAACGAAGAATGGTTTTAAAATGTTTTTCTTTTCTCAAAAGGTGGAATCAAAGAATGCCCGCTGAAAGAGTGAAGCGGTGGTCAACAGTTCAACCGAAAGGAAGAAGTGGAGGAAGGGAGAAGGGAAAGTAGGGAGGAAAAGGGCCGGTAGCCTCTTTTTGATCTTGACTGACGGGGGGGATAAGGAAGGGAAGGAAAGGAAAGGAAAGAAGGGAAGGAAAAGGGAAGAAGAAAAGCAGGACGCCGGCAGGAAGAAGAAGGCCGAAAAACGAGAAGGGGGCGAGACTGGGCAGTCTGGCCCCAGTGGGCAACCCGATTAGGGGGTAGCGCTCGACGCTAGTTCAGGCACCGGCTGCCCGCTATTGGTGGCGGCTCTCTCACTGGTTCTGTACTCGGTTCGGATAGAAGTGGGGGTTGCTCTGCTGGTGTCTTTGTCGTGTCTCACTGACCTGTCCTTGCTTGTCTGGAGTACGAGGGCAGCTATGGAGTCCTCGGGGAGGAGTGTGTGTTCTTGGTTCGAATGTTTACACCGTAGCTGTACCCCAATACCAGGTAACGAAGTATACAGTACGGAGGTTGATATGAATGATAACGCTAGATACCCCCGTAATCCACCACTGTCTGGGGGCTAAACGCCGTATCCGAAGGCTTGGACAAGCGGGCAATCTCCAGATCAGCTAGTGAAATGAAGAACTCATCTGCCATTCCGTATAGACTACGGAGGTCTAACAACACAGTGTACAGAATACGGAGAACAGAGTGCGAGTGTAAAAGTCAAAGAGCAAGGCAAAAGACGGTCAACCCAAGTGGGAATCGCGTAAACGCTAAACTCCCCGCCTCTGCATCCAAGTGGGGCGAGACTTTGATTTGGGTCCCTTAAGGCCCGCTTCCCAGACTCCATTGGCTGCTCAGTCACAGCTTTAATTTCCGCGGGCCCACCCCCTTCGTCGGGTTGGACCAACTTTCGGCTGCTTTTTGTTTACTCCGTAATTTTACTTTTAGGACCAGAAATCAGGGGTCAGGAGAATCACTTTGATCATATTACGGAGAAGTATGGTCAGCCACCCCGGCATATTCTGAATATTCAGCCTACATTCCTCTAACGAGATGAAACGTTTCTTGCAGCCGATATACTTCCTGCATATAATGTTCCTCCTAGAAAGTGTGCTCAACGCAGACCCATCAAGTCGTGGTCCCTGGTCAGGGAGTCCGCGGAGTACACGTACAGTGTACAGTAACGAAATGAAACCGCCACCAAAATAATTGGCAATAGGCCATCCACGGACCATCTCCGCTCTCGCCGATCGCCATTTCCCTTTCCTTTCTCTTAGCAAATCTCGATTTTGTTTCTATTCTGGGTGCTGGATGTTGAATACTGGATTCGAGTTCTGGACTTATCGAACCTTGAATTGAAGTTGAAGCCCTGAACAGTAACACACTACCGAGTCAACACCGGTGGAACTCTATCTCCCGGCCCGTCTTTCCCTCTGAAATCTGAAATGCCGAGACCCGACTTTGACTTTGACTCTGAGTCTGGAGATGGAGATGCAGATGGAGATGTCTCGCTTTCTACCTTCTAGCGGGGACTGCGAGTGAAATCAGAGGTGC